ACGAAATCTGCACATGGAGGTTCACAAAGTGCTGTGCCTGCCACGAAATCTGCACATGGAGGTTCACAAAGTGCTGCCCCTGCCACGTAAACTGCAGCTAGAGGTATTGAAACTAGAGCTAACTGGAGCTAGAGCTCTTGAAACTAGAGCTAACTGGAGCTAGAGCTCTTGAAACTAGAGCTACCTGGAGCTAGAGCTCTTGCAACTAGAGCTAACTGGAGCTAGAGCTCTTGAAACTAGAGCTAACTGGATGATGAGTGGTGTCTGATGAGTGGTGTATGATGAGTGGTGTATTGATGAGTGGTGTATGAACAGTTCTTGAATGTCCGTAACACGGAAGTTTCGCACACTAAACTTCCTTTGAATACAAAGACATGGACCTCCAATCTCTCAAGCTGTTGAATGTTGTTGTCTCATGTTTTTTCCAAGTCTTGAATCTTGAAACTCCAAGTCCAGAATCTTGCGCGCAGCCCAGACCAGAAAGGCATTTGGCCGATTAAATTCTGGAAAGTCGTCAATTGTATACCTGTACCAAAGGTTCCAAAGGAGACCCCAAAACCAGCAGTGAGTATGGAACTATCGTATATATACATTAGATACATCCCATAGAATTACAATGAAGTACATCTTATATTATAGCACATCCTGTGTACAGTAGCTTAGTAAGATAGACGACTCACTGCTCTTGGGGCTTTCAACACCCTAATGGCCGCTCTTCTCATCTACATCGCCTCGCAGCGGATCCAGTCGCCCTCGTCGCGGCCAGTGACGGTGCTTCCCCACAGCACGACGGAGGCAGGGTCCTGGGCACCGCATCCGGCCCAAAGCCACGGAGTGTGGCGCGTGGTCGCGGGCGTGGCGCGGGTGTGACGCGTGGCACGGGATGGGAGAGCGGGGCGCCTGGGCGGGGGCGCCTGGGCGGTTGGTCAAAGCCATGTTTGAAGAGGATGGCCACGGTCAAGCACCGAAGATATAGAATAAAGAGCTTTTTTCAAGAGAAGATCTTTGAAGCTCGGCTCGGCACCTCCAAATTCTAACATCGGGGCTTGGAAAAGCAAGTCCGGGTGAAAGTTCCACAGTCTGGTGAGTCCGGGTCATTTGATCCTGAACCAAAGAATTCAAAAGCCACATGAGGGATGAATTTTGAGTTTCACAGGGTGACCTTCAAAAAGCACTGGCAAAAGACTAAATAGTATCAAGGCTTCCAAGACCCCATTGGTTGGAGAACCACTCGATGGTTGCAGAGAACTTGTGGAGTTGCCTCCATGCAAAATTGTAGATCCACTCACAATTTGAAGGCATCGTGGCAGCCAACGACGCCGCAGGCTTCTCCAAATCTAATTCTTTATGGTTGATGTAGGAATTCCATGTTTCTATTATTCTATTATATTCACTACTATGTTCACCTTATGCTAAGCTAAAGGTGGCCATTGCATACTCCGAGCTGGGTGAAATTGCAAAAAAAGCACACAAATGCTCCATTGATGTCGCTCATGTTTGACGAAACCAAAGCTCTCTCAGGTTTTGTGAGGCGGGGTCTGGGAGGCGGGGTCTAGGTGTATGTTCTGCCCCAAACATCTTGGCTGGCAACTCTGTGCTTAGAGATCACGTGTACTTCCAGCCAACGGGTACGGGATGCTTTCTTTCACACTCAACGCAAATAAATTGCCCTCGACTTGGACATATGCTGGGAAAGATTGCGGAAAAAACCATTTGGAGCCAATGACAAGCCTCGAATTTGGGTTTAACGAGGAGCACCAGCTGCAGAACTGGTGAATTTTCATCCGTTTCATGTTTCTTGACCTTCAGCCAGTTGAACTGCTTGAGATAGTCACATGTCCATTTCCCACAAAAGGAAGCCACCAATATCCCTTGGTTGGACAAAGTGCTGGCAAACCAAATAGAAAAGTCACGGATCACCCGCGAGCTCATTGGACATCATCAATCACACCAAGAGGCGTGCGCACTGAGTGAATGTCCTTCCAACTCAAATGCATTGAAGCAGCGAAACGCTAGACTCAGCGTGAATTGGTTATACAACATGTTAAAACCATCCAAATGGTTGGAACCTTCCAAAACCAGCCCCTTCAAACGTACCACCCTCCCTCCCCCCAAAAATGAACATGTACAGTACCTTATGAGATCATGAGGTCAATTTCTACCTCCATGGACCCTTCTTCCACCCTAGTATCGATGGCCTCCGCCCGGCGACGCCCTCGATGTCTCTGACCTCTTCTCCGAGGCGCCACGTCGCTGACGCTGCGGCTCCTCCGCTGGGCGAGGCCCTTCGTCGGGGCACCGAGGCGATTCTCCACCTGCGCGGCGAGGCTCGGAGCATTGCGGGGACGGGGTAGGGGGCTTGGACCAGTGAGGGGAAGGCTCGGCTGGGAAAGTCTTTTTGGGGGTCCAACTAAGTGTTTCCTGAAAAAAGACCCCCCCCAAACACCAATGAACATGTTTGGTGAACATGCAAGTGTTTTCGTTGAGGACAGTTAAGAGACTATGGGGCGGAACAAGCTTCTATCCGGGTTTGGGAGCGGATTCTCATAAGAACTGACTTTCCGCTTGGGCTGGGGCCTGGGGCGAGCGTCTCCAAATATAGGTTCAGTTCCAACTGGGTACCCAGCTGGCACTCTCAAGCCTTGAAGCACCACAGCCCATGCCAGGGGTTCTCCCACCCCGTGATCCCATGCACGTATGGTTTGCAGTTCATCTCATTGATTTCATACCAGCTGCTTTCTGTTGGTCACTACGATGATGCCACGCCACCCCGACAGTCTCGGACAGTCTTGGACCATTCATCCAACACTCTGACCCCGTCCGACCCGTCCGCCCTCCGTGGTGTCGGATGCTTTGGGTGTCCCAGCACGGTAGATCTCGGGCGCCAAAGGTGTGAGCCTCGGTCTTCGCGGGTCGAAACGGGGCGATCCATGGCGAGTGGAGGATCAACTCAAATTACAAACTCTATGGATCCACATACCGAACCTGAGGTACAATGCAGGGAGACTATTTATGTAGGAGGGCGCCATTGTCGGGTCCAATTGCCTTCTGAGGTGAGGTCTGTGGATCCAAAGGGATCAGTTGCCAGGGTCACATTTTTCTCTCCCAAAAGACATGGCCACCCCCACACACTCACTTGCGAACCGGATCAAACTTATACAAAACATGATCCTTAAAATCCTTGGACTCCCCCCCCGACGACTGGTTTCCAACGACTGGTTGGCGATCGATCTCTTAGGCGGGTGATGGACGGACTCCATCGTTAGCCAAAAGAGGAGCACGTCTAGTATACATATATATATATATATAGATTAGACCGTGTTAAAACAATGTATAAACTAACTACATATAGTTAAACAATGTATAAACCACCAAGATGCTGAGGCATAGCAATGACTTCCATGCACTGAAGTCGTGCACTTCCAGGTTTCACACATCTTCACCCCAAACAAACAACATCACACGGTCATCCCCAAACGCTTCCTTGGTTCTGCGCCCCTAGCTTCCTTCTGGAGGGATGTGGCATGTGTGGCGTGTGGCGATGTCCCAGTCGTTTCCCAACATGTAAAAAGAAGAGACATATATACATGTCCTTCCCAGAATCAATGAAAAAATAACATTACCAACATGCATAAATGTTCAGAGTCCATCCATCTATAATCACTAAGATGTCAAAAGCCCAGCCACACGGAGACGCCTTGCAGCCGCTTCGGCAAAAACCGCGGCGACCGCACCGGCGCCACGGGCGGCGCCACGGGATCCTGAGGAGGACACTGCAAAGGTGGCGAAGGAGTCGGCATATCGTACGGTAATCAATTACATCTTCCATTATTATATATATACACCTGGATCCTCCTTTCGGCGGAAAGAAGTGCCGGACCTCAATCCGGCAAAGTGTTCCGCCGGATTCCGGAAAAAATGCCGGAGACCTGAAAAAACATCCGGATCCAAGATTCTGAAAAACAAAGATGATATATAAAAGGTTGGATCATACACAAGGAAACTGCCTTTGCGCCACGAGTAGTTTTTCTGGAGCATACTCATTCCGCAGCCCAGCACTTGAGCCTTCCCGTTCCCTCGCCCATCTTCCGAATGGCCTAAGAGCAGAACCATCACAACATATAAGCAACTTGACTTGTGCCCAAGCAAAGACTTCCAAGAAGAAACCAAGGAGCATGTGGCAAGGAACCCCTCTTTCTCTGCAACCGTGTCTCTAAAGTGTTTTTTTTACAAAGTGGGTTGCTCTCCATGATTCTTATGCTTTTTAATGTTTCTTTAAAGCTTGCCTCAGGACAGCCCCCCCAATAAAGTAGCAGAACTCATGGTTCCTGTCAAAACTCTTCTTTGAAAAACTTTTCAACATCAAAACCTGCAGAAAACTCAGTCCAACAAATTACGCAGGAGTTACGGGAAATTACGCCGGAGTTATGATCGGTGGAATGAGAAAACAGCGGAACAGGCAAACGAGCACACTTTGCAAACAAAATCATTGCATCAGTAGTGGGTTTACCTTCAAAGAAATGCAGGCCACAAAGAATGCAAAGCCTCGAGAATCCACATAAAGTGACTTGGAAAAAGTGCCGGACCAAATCCAGAAAAACGCCGGAGTTGGAAGTCCGGCGAGAGACCCTGTAAAAGTGCCGGACTGAAGATCTAGGTATATAGTACTCAAGTGTATACTCAAATATACACTCATATAGTCACTATACATCCTGACTACTGCTCAAACATCGGGCCGTGACATGGACAGTCCGCCAGTTGTGAGTTTTAAACTTTAACCGTCTAATCTTCATTGATTCTATTTCGAACCCTCCATATGATGAGGTTTCACTCCAGCTAAACGGGGGGAAGTTATAATGTACCAAAGCTGCCCTGTAAACAAAGTGGATTTGAAGCAACTTATATATAACTCATCTTTTCTTCCCTGCCTCCGTCTTCTGCAATTTCACCTCCTCCGCTTCGACGTCCTCCGTCCAGGAGAGGACGTCGAAGGTCACGAAAAACCAAAAGCGAGTGGTCGTCCCGGCTGTTTTCGGATGTACTTGGATGCCCCGCTGGATGCCCCCAATCTTCACTCTATACAAAGGAATCTGATTGCCCTGAAGTTCCTGAAGGTGCCAATACTAACATGTCATGGCCTAGAGACTCGTAGTAGTCCAAGCCCTTCGAGCCAAACAGGCGTAGGATCTCATCTTGCATCTCTGCATTGCCATCTGCACTCCGCTACAAATTGCCATCCCCTATGGATCCACATACCGAACCTGAGGTACGGCGCAGGGAGACTATTTATGTAGGAGGGCGCCATTGTGGGGTCCAGTTGCCTTCTGAGGTTAGGTCTCTGGGTCGATAGGGATCAGTTGCCAGGGTCACGTTCTTCTTTCCCAAAAATCCATGGCCACTTGCTCCACCGTCTGACGGTGGAGCCCCTTACGGCTCGCCCTTCCACCACCCCTGTGACGTGCTAGAAGGTAGACACCCCTATAGGGATCCACATACCTTCTCAGAAGGTACTTGGGCCCTCCAAGCCTACATAATCAGTCTGAATCAGTCTCCAATCACCTTCTGACACGGTATTTGGATCCCTAGAGCACGTATCCACATGGCCACCCCCCAGTCCACCGGTCTTCTCCTTCTCCGCCATCGCCCGGACCATTCCCGCCTCTTCGGGGCGTCGGAGACGCGCCAAGGCCAAGGCCTCGGAGTCGGCGTGAAGGGGAGCGAGCTCCGTTCAGCCTCAACAGTGTCTACCAAACGCTACGACCAAACGCTGGTTTTTGCCCGGTTTGGTCGTAAAGAAACAAGGGCAAGGATGGTCAGCCAAATAAGGATCCTTTTTCGAGACTTAAGGATGTTCTTTTCTTATAGTCTTAGGTAAATCGCGGGTCATTATGAGAATTACGAGGTCACACAACTTGGCCCTTGGCCAAAAGTTCGCAATCAGGTGTCGGATGAGCCTACTCGCAGCAACAGGAACTTACATTCCAGGTCTGGTCCTCATGTTTTTTCCCGAATCTGGCAGCAGAAAAGACCAAAAACACCTATAGCACCTGCACATCTATATGCCTGCAGATTCATGAGATTGGATCAAATTGGTTTCAGCTTTCAAAATCCCTGGTCCACTCGCTTTAGCCGAGTCCCGGACGCAGCTCCGGTGGAGCTCCTCTAAGTCGCTCGTGCTCACCACGTCGGCTGCTTCTGGCAACGAAAGGGTGGCTGAGTTCAAATGGAAAAAATCAGCAAAAAACAGATCTGATCTGATCTGATCAAAAATAGCACTGGAGCCAGGGGTACACCCTCACTACATGCATTGTAATTCAACTGCCACTCATGCTCCACCCCCCAAAACCAAGGTACTTGGCACTTCAACCAGTCCTGGCGCGCCACTCTGCTCTCCCTCTCCGCCTGGTGCAGTCTCCGGATCTTGCGCCAAGCGCTGACAAAGGCGCCGGACCTGCAGCAGTGTACCTTGCGTGTCACGGCCTACGCGCGTCACGAGGAGAGGTCCCAGAGGAGTGGTCGCAACATGGGCGAAACCATGGCGAAACCGGAGGCGCAGGAAGACTGAGACTGCAAGGAATGATACATGCAAATCTAAGGATAACTATGGTTCCTTGGTGAATGGCCTGAATTCAGCAGTGCTGCCTGAATTCAGCTCTTGCTTGATAGGGGATGACCTTCCTGGCTTTATGTCATTAATGATTGCTCATGATCAAGGCATCTGCATGCATGGCTTGTTTGGCTTTGTCACCAATAGTCTTAAAGAACGGATGCAAATCAAATCCTCAAGAATCCTTGCTTGAAGCTGGGGTCTTTTGGTCATGTTCCTTGAAGTCTGGTGATCGGCCAGGGGAAGAGCTAGTGACACATTTTGATCGATCCTTACCAGAACCCGACTCGTTCGGGGTGTCCATTTATAGCCCCTTAGCTGTTCAGGGGTATTCATTCACCATTTTCTTGGGGCTCCTGGTCTAAAGCACCGCTGGATTTCTTAGTTGAGCTCAAATGGATGTCGCTTCCACACACGGCTCGGCAAGCCGAGAAACACCTCCGTCACACGCGGAAGGTGACCCGTCACACGCGTTGACGGCGCCGTCACGCACGGCCGGCCGTACGGGCGGACACCCATGGCCTTCCATCTGCTTGGCCTCGGTGCACATGGCAGATCCATTCGACAGCACAGGGTGGATCCATCGGTCCTCTATCGTCCCACCCTGGCGCTGGGTAGACTGGTCTATTTCCCGAAGCAAGCTCAGGGCTTGCAAGCTTGTTACATGGAAGGTCTCCCTAGCTGAAGCTACAGGAACCTGACCAAGTCCTCCCCTAGTCATCCCCACTACTTCAATGCCATGTCACCATTCAAAGCTCTTTTCACGAAGTTATCCGCTACACACCCAAGTCCGCGCGTGTTTTCAGCCCATGAAGCCGCAGGTGGGCGCCCCGGCCTGGGCGATCTAAGTCCATCACCACCTGGGCGCCCGGGCCTCAAGCACCTGGCATTTTCGCGTCAGCGTGGCGACCTGATCCTGCGCCTCCTGCGCCAGACATGACATGTGTGGTGGCCAGCACGTATCACCAGCACGTGGAGAGCAGGGCCAGCACGTGGAGAGCCTATATAAACGACGAAGGGTTTTTTTCAGAACAAGATGCAACACTTATGTCTTTGAGAGAGCCAATATCAGGTCCGAATCTGAAACCTCAACTTCGAACTCCAAAGCTGAGAACCCAAAAACCCAAAGCCTCGCACTCCATCTAGGTCGCCTCGCTCACCCTGCCAGAAAAACTCCTGCAGCGCTGCTTTCAAATCATCACACGCTGAGGTCTGCCTGGGCACCGTCTGGCCGTATGGCGTGGATCAGAATACATGGCCCTGCTTGGGCTCCTGGCCTTACTAGGAGCAAGGACGCTACTATGAGCAAAGACGCTACTCAGGCTGGGCTGGCTCCCTTCGCCTCTTCATGGGAGGTCGGGTGAACCTGGTGGGTCACGACCCATCGCCATATAACCGTTGTTGCTGAACCAACCATGTGTCATTGGTATTATTCATGCATCTTCCTGGAGTTCCAACTGGGTCTACCCCGCTTGTAGCCAATATGATACAAAATCCGCAGTGAAAATCCTACCCACTCGTTGTCAACACTGCTGGGCGCCTGGAAGGGCTCTCACTCGGCATGTGGGAGGCCACATTGCACTCCTGGAGAGGTGGGCCAAAGGTTGGCTGAGAGGTTGGCCGCCTGGTGCAGTGAGGTGCAATGAGGTGAATTTGTTGAGGTTGGTGAGGTTTGCAAAGAGTTGTCAAGGTTGTCATGTTGGAAGGGGTTATATATAACTGAAAATCGTGTTTGTTTTGTCTGCCGTTGCCGCTGGTAACACTCTGGCTCAAGCTCGTCAAGCTGTATACAATCTGATGGTAAGTGGATCCACACTGTAGACTTTTAATAACTTGAATTTGCTCATGAAAGAACATACAAAAGACTCCCCTAAAGGGGATTCATCAGGAAAGAAACAACAATCACCACCACACACCCGCTGCACACCCAGGTTTAAGACCCACCAGTAACTGCATCCCAATGGCTCAAGTCTGCAAGACGCACTTTGACGACCTGAAAATCCATTCAATGTCGGATCGGAATGAATTAGCTATAACTATGATACAACTACAACATGATACAACGAAAGTCACCCGAATCCCATACCGGAGTGTGTCTAGGACTGGGCCAGGCAGGGTGGTCATCAATGGCGGGCCTGTCACGTCAGGGTCCAAAGGCTGGGAGAGCCAGGGAGCTTCAAGAGCTGCAGGACTTGTTGCTTTAGCTTCCACGTGTCATGTGAAAACACATGACGATGTATTGATATGTCTGCAGTCATGAGCTTTTCCATGTGTTTTGATATGTGTTTGATATATGGTTGTTTGAGAGCTGTGGATCCTAAATGAACAGTGCTTCCGGGAATCGGGTCACCGATGAACTGCCTGAAGCTGTGCTAGGGTCTGGCGGGGTCTGGTCTTCTTAGTCATGAGGGCAACATGGGATCCCAAGTGAAGGTGAATTTCCCCAATGTACAAACATATCTATCATGTCTCCCTCACTCGGAGCACGAAACTCTCACGGGCTCTTGAGAATGAGAACTCCGAAAGAAGAGAGGCCCACCTGGCTGACCTGTTCATGCGGACCCCCCTGGCCACCAGGCCACAGCTCTGCGGACCCCCCCCCGGCCCCACCGAGAAGTCGATGAAGCCATAGACCTTGGCGCTGCCCGGCACCTCCCGTGCGCCTCGGAGGCCGCTGCCCGTGCACCCGGCTGCTGCCCGTCGGGCATGAACAGGTGTGGACGCGGCCACCGGCCGGTTTTGAGGGGGTCGGTGGAGGTTGGTGGAAAAAGCCTTAAGGTCAAATGGTTTGGGAATTCTTTGGAGGGTTGATAAGGGTTGCTTTGGTTTGCAAATAATGCTGTTAACACCATGGTGACCAGCACCAGGGACCACAACCTCGCTGTGTCATGGGTCGATCTCTGGGGGGCTTCCGAGGTCGGACGCCGGCCCATTCAATGCCCAGATCGGCCAAGAAGCCCTGCCAAAGAACCCAAGAACGACCATCTCCTCATGATCAGATCTTCTTCTCACCATCTCTTGGAGCCAAGAACGTCCATGTCTGACTGCCCTCACCATCGGAACCCACCTCCCAAGGCAGGGCGGTGTCCATTCCAAGCAGCTTTCCGTCTGGGCGTTGAGGTTGGCCAGAGAGGTGGGTGACATCATCTGGAAGTCGTCGTGGTCCGGCGGGCCGCTGGGGCCACTGGGGCCTCGCGGCAACCATCTGTTTCGGCGACCAGCGACCGCTGGGCCAGAGGTCGGTGGCCCAAATAGGTGAAACCAAACAGGTCCTTGGCAAGGCAAGACTTCTTGAATCTGTCATAAGGCAAATGTGGTAATGGTTGGGATATGCTCTAAACCACCAGAAACTCCAACGTACATCAATCAAACCAAGAATACAGAACAAGTGCGCAGTGTGATGGTGATTCAAAGAGACCCTTGTTCCGCCCCCCCACCAACAAACAATTGACGCATGGATAGAGGAATTCTTTTCAGCAAGCTGTCTGACACGGAACGCACATGTACAAGGAGAGTTTCAAGAGATTTGTAACAACCTGGACCCCCAAATGGCGGAAAACAACTGATGCAAATGTCCAACGTTGCAGGACTGCAACTGCAACTGTCAGTTTTGGCTAAATTCATGCATTGACAATAGGTGAAAGTTGCCATCCAGTCAGTACGTCCTGGAGTGAACATTGCAAGCGATCTTTCATGATCTTTTTTGTTTCCATGCCCCCGCCCACACAAGCTGCAAATCATGGTTATGCGAGTGCTCTCCAAAACCAGTGCTCTGCAAGGAAAACACCGAGTACTTCCAGCAAAAAACGACAAAACCTTCATATGAAAGGTTACGTTGTGAAACGTTCCTGCACATCAGGATACTGTATCTGGTAAAAAGATCACCAATCTGCAAGGGTGTTTTCTCGACATGATGGCCATTGCATGGCCGCATGACAATCTGCATGGCAAGCCATGCAGAATTGGTGGCAGCGGTTCCACCGGGGCCAAGCAGCAGTTTCTGCTGCAAACGGTGGCAGTTTGACGTGCGCATGCGGCCAACATCGATCTCCAGAGCGAATCGGTAACCCAAAAAGCAGCTCGCCAAGTCGTCGTTTCCAGGGATGTTTCAGAAGGATCCCTTGGTTTCAGAAGGATCCCTTGCCTTGGCTCTGCAAATCATGAAACGAACTGGCCAAGGTCAAGCTTCCGCATGTAGGAGAACGGAGGTCACTCTATGTCGCCGTCACTTGAATATCAAGATGCAAGCAAGTATCGAAAACGGTCGCCGGTCTAGTGCCACAGGCACGTCACAGGCACGTCGCACGTCTTGTTCCCTATATATTATATAAGTGAAGACACAACAGAACGGAGTGTGTGAAATGTCTGACAAGTCTTGACTCTTTAGCAAGACACAGAATGGACTGCGTTAGCTCCCAACATCAGCGTTAGTACTATGTCCTTCTATGCATGAAAGCTATAGATCCTTATTTATGATCTTATACGTACGACTTCCACCCTTCTTCCATCTCTTCCATCCTCTGGCCTCTCTGTGGCTCGTCACCATAAAAGCAGCATTCCTATGGCCCGTCACGGCATACTTGGCAAACCGGAGCCCTAAGCAACCCAACCCTAAGCAACCCAAAAACCCTAAGCAACCCAAAGAATTCATTTAAAAAAGAACAGGCAAACGTTCATTGGATTGCGAGGTTGCTGAGCACATGAAGTTCTTGTAGATAAGACCTAGCCTATATACATATAATCGTTGGAGCCTCTAAGAAGGGGTTCAGACCCGATTAGAAGTCATAACGATGCACCAAATGCCAAGGTGATCCGGGTGCCCCGAGCACCCAGCATGCGTACATGGTACATGGGGTACTGTCCCAAGTGCTGGCAGAAATTCCAATGTGCAGCAGAAACTATTGAAATGATATTGAAAAAACATTGGAGGAGTTAAAACCTCGCAGCCCCTTCAACGGATTATATTGGATGTCCATGAGTGTCTGTTTCTGTGTGAATAACTACATCTGTCATCTGATTGTTCATTCTGACAACCAAAATCAATGAACAGAATGCTTTGGATGTTTAGTACTGGTTGGTTGACATCAAGAGTAGACATTCCAGCATTCCAATTCCATCCAATTCCTTAATATCCATCGGGTTTGCCCCCTGCGTGTGGGCACATTGAGACTATTCTCAAGGAGATGTTCATGTGGCATCAGGACCAAATCCAACAGCAGTCTGGTGGTCTTGGAGGGAGCACACGAGCTGAGCTGAGCTATATCTATGATTAGTCCATATTAGTCATATCACTTCCAACAATCCTTGATGACACATCAATCTACCGTAAAAATCCTGCAATCCCTTTATATAAATCGAAAGGCTTGGAGCCCGATGCGCCAACTAGCTTGGAGCCCATCGCCTACTAGCTCGGAGGCCATCGCAGGCATACAACAAAAGCTTCTGAATGGGACCACCATTCGCAGGTCCAACGACCTCCCTCTTCACCCGCACGGTCGACCCGCCTCGCGCGGGTCTGCGGCCTCGCGCTGCCAAGCGTCTGCGGCCTCGCAGAGGGAATCGGTTTGAAGTCAGCGAAAGCAACCGGAGGTGCCAGCAAAAGGGTTAACACAAGAACACATATTATCTATAAGTACTATAATGTACCATATCATGTACCTATAGATACCTATAGTATGTCGACCTGAGGTGTACATGAATTGCTCTTTTTGAGGGTCACTGTTGGTAGCAACTCTCGATTTAGTGGTGCTGGTTTCAATGGGTTCTTTCAAATCTCCCGCCTTGCGCAGGGCCTGGAGATAGCCTTCGAAGATGTCCTCCGAAATCACCTGTTCGGTGAAGACTTCGGCGCCATTGGCTGGTGTCAGTGAGACACCACGACCTGCGAGCCTGGATCCGTTGCCAACCTGGTCATAGCCGCCATAGCCCGGTACCTAATGGTGCCTACTTGTATACTGTTTCTCAATAAAACGCGAGATGAGCCGGGGGGATCCCACCACCAAGAGCGGAGCCGAACGCACGACATCGTGGTTCCTCAACGGGGAGCGTCATCGACCGCGCACCGGGCAACGGACCGAAACCCGAAAGGCTCGTCCGAAGAGGTTGGTGTGAGCCAACGTTGTAGCATATTCAGCCCATTGTTAGGTGCACCTTGGGGTCTTGACCTGGAGATGTTCCAGACTCTAATAAACTCCCCAAACTGACATAGTAACCACCTGACAAAGAGATGCAAAAAGTCTTCCAAACCAGTTGAAGGCCTGCGATGCTAGGAATTCGGGGAGGTTTAAGTGATCCAAATAAAGCTTCCAAACCACAAATCACATCAAATCACTTGTTCTCCATCTGGCTATGGAAAAACATGAGTATCATATCCCTTTCCCTAGGCGAAGCATGGATGGCCAGTCATTCTATATACTTATATTCTGGTTCTTACTTGAGTTGTCGGGAGACTAGTGATGAAGTTTCCTGTCAGGCTCCTTCCGCAAGGTCATTTCTACGGTCATCAAGAACGCAAGAAGAACGTCACATCGTCATGTCACCTAAAAGCATCCTGGTCATCCACTGGGCCAATTGCTGGCTCCAGCATCCACCTCTTAGATGTGCAAATCTGGGACTAACACTCTCTGTATCTTCCAGCTTGACACGTTCATTCAGCTGGGTGGTTGACCATGGTCAACCCACTTCCTGCTGCTCCAAGTCGCCCCATCATGTTCGGTCCAGGGCCGACCGCAATGCTTGCAGCTCTCCTTCTGTAGCAAGATTGCAATCCTTAGGATGAAGGAGGACAGGAAGGAGCATGCAACCACCCCCCCAAAAAAATAGCAGATACCGTGCACGGAAAGAAGCTGCTACTTGGTTCATCTTCTTTAGGGTTCTTCAAGAAGCTCTTCACAAACCAGTGGTCCGAAAAGTGAGGCAAGAACGCCGCTTTGTCGCACAGAGACAGAGGCTATCCTGAACCAAACAAACAATGTCAGGACCCTACGGATTTCTTAGACATGAGGCCATGAGGCTTGCCTTGATTGAAAAGGAATCCTTTCATTTGCAGGATACGCGGCCCATTCTGTCCCATCCCATCCGAGGCTCTTGAAGGGATTCGGCTCGAACCGTTCACCTGAGGAAGGTTCACTCAGACTGCAGCAGGTGCAGCTTCAGGATGCTTCAGGTTCCATCCATCACCGGGCAGAAACTGTGTCACTGCCGAAGGAACATCTGTTTTTAGGACAGAAACTCACTTACTTCCCACGTCCGAAAGAAGGCCGAGACCCGCAACGTCCATTTGAAGCCGAAAGAAGGTGCTATAGGATACAAGAGTCGCAGGTGGGGTGCAACGTTCTTCCATCAGTGACACGAGTGTCTCTGGCCCTGAAGGACCCTGAAAACGGACCGCCGTTGACGAAAGGGGGTCCCTTGTGCTTAATGACCCCACGGATCCAGGATCCAGTCGTACCGAACCTCAGAAGGTACGACTGGACCCTCCAAACCTACATAACAGTGCCTCCAGTCACCTTCTGAGAGGTACTTGGATCCCTAGGGTTACAATGTCCCGGGGTCGAATGCATTGAACCCCGCTGGGTGCGGTTTGGCAAAGAAAACAATTGTCCCACCTGGGGATTCTTGTACCTGGGTCTTCATCTTCATCATGATCATCCTCCTCATCCTCCTCCTCATACAGTATGTTTTGCCTTGTTCCTTCCTTGCTTTTTTCCTTTCCTTCCTTGCTTGCTTGCTTGCTTCCTTTCTTTCGTTCTTTCTGTCTGTCTGTCTTTCTTTCTGTATTTCCTTCCTTATTTATTTCTTTCTCTCTCTCTCTCTCTCTCTTCCTTCCCTTCTTTCTTTATATATTTCGTCGTTCTTTCTTTCTGTTTTTATGTCTTTCTTTCCTTCCTTCTTTCTTTCTTTCTCTCTCTCTCTCTCTCTCTTCTCCTTCCTTCCTTTCTTTCTTTCCTTCCTCTTTTCACCTCTTCTTCGGCGACACGCGCAACTCCACCTGGCCACCGAGTGGCAGGGTTCACTGCCGCCGCTGCTCTGCCGCGAACACCGTGGCGACGCGGACTCCATCGCGAGCCACGCGGAAGATCGTCGGGGCCCACGGGGAGCGGAGCGGCAGAGCGGAGCGCCAAAAGGAGATGAGTGGAAGGATGTAGCTGGTTGGTAGGTGTTGCTTTTGTTGAGTGGTTGAGGTATATATAGTGGGGTTTGGGGTTGGCTGGTGGACTGGTTGGGTGGTTTGGTTGGCTGCTGAGTGAATTTGTTGGGGTCTTTCTGTGGCTTAGTTTCCTTGGTTTGTGTAGTTGGTTTGCTGGGCTGAGCGGCTCGGATTGGTTTCGTTGGTTGGTTGCTTGCTTGTGTGGGATGGCTTGGTGGGTCCAATTTCCCCAAAGTATCGTAGTAAGGGAATGCCTACGCTCTGCCAGAAGTCCTCATCCTTCTCAACACGTGGAGGCTGTTTACTCAAAAAGGCTGTTCATGGCTGTCATCTATGCTCATCTCCATATGGGACTCAACTGACAGCTAAGTCCTCCCAAATATATATAATATATATATACGACTCTAAAACATATATAGTGAGAATCAGATTCAACATTTTCACATATTCTGAACAAGTCTTCTGCAAAGCTATCAGTCTGGGTCAAGGCTGGCGGCTTCAGGGCATCTTTGGCCAGTTTTCCTGAAGCCAGGCATCGGGTGTGTCCAACCTCCCAGACGTGGCCCAGCTGGTGTGTCCAACCGACACCAGGGTACACCAGTGTCGGTCACCAGGTCGGATTCTTCGTGACCTCGGCTCTGTCGGATTCGGCACCAACCCACGGAGAGATGCGACACAGTGACACACATCACGCGTCGCACGAAAGAAGACATACAACGAAGGGGGTTTCTTCGTCCGGTCCAAGCGAGAAAAAAGAGCTTTGGATGTCCCGAAACACCCAAGCAAAGGGTCTAGTGGTCCACAAAGCGATGGGTCTTGACATGCGATGGACCATAGAGGTCACAAGCAAAGGGTCTCGTGGTCCACTGCTTTGAACTGATTTGGGGCTATGACATGTCATTGACCCATCTTCTTTGAGGATCTCGACAGAAAAAGTCACAATGACAAACGTCTTTTGCCGTCGGCAGTCGGCTCAAGGTAAGTGGACAACCCATCTCAAAAACGCCACCAGTGAGCCTTCTCTCGTGTCATTTTGGGAAAAAAACAAAACCAAGGGCATTGACCACCTACACCTCCACGTCGTGTAGGGTGGGGGTTCTCCCAAATCTCTGTGATACTGTACAGGATCTGATGCCTTCCTTCAACAACAGAGGTGATCTGATACCTCTGAGGAGCGAGAATCGCACCCTTCTGTGTCCCTCAGCCAGTTTCTCCCTGCCGCAACGACAGATTCTGCAAGTGGACAACAAAAAGAGCTTCTGTTCTTGAACGGTTTGCTTTTCCTTTTCAAGAGCCGGAACATGGAATCATGATGAATCATGGGAGTTGTCGAAGTTTTCAGAAGTTCTGTCCATCCAACGAGCAAAACACAACTCTGGAGCATCTCTTTTTGCTCCGACCAAACGCGCCTGCTCCGCGTGCGAACGACGCTCGTCGTGAGCGAACGACACAGAGCGGCGGCTTCCCGCCACACCACACCACACCGCCGCAGCGATCTGCACAAGCTCCAAGGTTCTGCGCCACCGTTGGAGCTCGACAGCGAGCAATGAGACGTCGACCCAAGAAACAATAATAAGAGAAATGGAAAGGGAACAATAAAACTAATTAAATAGTGAACACTAAAATACTCAATTGTCAAGAAACATAGAAAGCAAACATTGAAACGCATGTGAACACAATGTTAAAAACATATATATTGATTGGTATCATAATTTAGTTATAACCTATAGAGAGTCTCGGACCTCTAGAGGGAGCGCTAACTCTTCCACTCTTGCTTAAGCGTCTGGCAGAAGGCACGAGTCAGTAGGACTTGAAATCATCAACCGGACTTTGGTGGCCACCAAAGGTTCTGAAGAAGTGTTTGATATTCTGTTTGGAACCACCAGGGCCGCCAGGGGTTGGGAACGTCGTTCGGGACCATCCTGGGCGCCCATTTTTCAACAGGTTCGAACGCCATGTTTCGGGAAGACATGTAGTTGCTCGGGGACATGAGTCCAAATGGATCAATAAATCCAAAGCCTGAAAGATCTACTACGACTCTGAGGTGCAATACTACTAGTTGCACCATAACTCGGAGGTCACGAGCAAGCGATGCACAAATGGTGCAGCTCCAAGGCAGATCCCTCGAAAGAATAGCTGACTAGTGTGGAATACTTCAAGACCTTCAAGACATGTAGGTAGGTGCTTTCCTGTTGATTTCCGGATTTCCCCATATTCTACTTATACTCTGGGATTACCCTATTTCTAGGGTCCTAACAAACAACTGCAGAACAGCAACTCCAAGAAAAAGGGTCGACGCCGAAACTTCTGCCCTATTGGCAGGTAAAAGCTAACGAATGGGAGTTCGGATTTCTTCAAGAGAAGCGGCTGAAGAGCAGCAAAACACGGCCAGCAATGTGACGTGTCGGGTCAAACTTTGAACAGCAGCTTTGATACATCCTGATTAATAGCTGTCAATAAAAAACAACACTAAAGACATGAAGTAACTGCATCACCTCAATGCCCCAAGACTGGAAGTCTTGTGGCTTTACCAGATTTGCAATGCATCTGTCTATATTCTATAATACTATACACCGCATCCATTGGAAGAAAACACTTGGCGGATCGTCATGTTGCATTCCCCGGACAAACCGAGTCAGCAAATGATCACCAACAAACCCATATGACCAAGTTTCTTTCTGAGATCCAAACCAACAGTGTCCAGTCGATTGCACCGTAAGATGGGCGGCCCGCATTGGTTGTGTGTCCATTTCTTCGCTGTCTAAACAACGGGCAAAAATCACGCAACATATTTATGTCACTCTTTGAGAAGATGTCCCCCAGAGCCAGTCATGTTTAGACTCTAGACAAAAACACAAACTTTAGCACGGCCTACTGACCTACTGACTATACCCCAAGCCAAAAACCTACAGTTTCAGAGTAGATGGCACAAGGGCCCCCCGTCCTTCGGTGGTTGAAAAATGGACCCCCATTCTGTCCAAGACATCTCGGGGGAACCGCCATCGAACCTCTGAAACCACTGTTTACACCCTGGAAGACTAACATGGACCCTGTCAGCCTGTTGGTAGAGGAAAACACTAATCCAGGGAGCCAAAACCACAGGGTCTATGTGAGTTTTCGGGAGTGTAACCCAAAAAACTCCCACTGGCTTCAAACCATCTTTCACCCAACATAACATGCAGTTATATACATTAACTTATATGCCTGTTAGTATGCCTGTTACGTGGTGTTATTTAGTCCCACTGGCTTCAAACCCCCGAGGTTCTGCCCCGAGGTCCGCTCCGCTCACCTCGCGCCCGCCACGCCACTCCAACCGGAGGTCCGGTGGTCCGAGGGTCTCTGCCACGCAACGAGGCCCAAGGGTACCAGCAAGTCTCAGGTAGAAATCCATCCCAGACACTCCATGTAAGACATGTATACATACATCAGGGTGTTTTCAGGGGTCGGTAGGGACACCCCTCGAATTCTCAGACCCGAGGAGTCGACCTGAGGAGTCGACCGACCTGATGATGAGACCTAAGATCGACCTAAGACTGGAGGGTTGGACCCTAGCTATGCCAGAAGAACATCGATGTTTCGGCTGACCTGGGTCTGTACTTCATCCCTGACCTGTTCTGCTTGTTGCAACGATGCAACAAGTGATGCAGTCAGAAATGGCAAAACGTCGAATCTCCCTAAACATTGCCTGCTGAACTGCATGGTATCCCTTGGGGCAGCACATGTCCAGATTCGCCTGAGATTCTGCAGAACGAGCCGGCAAAAGGATCCACCATTTAGACAAAGAACGAGCTTATTGGTCATCTCACTCAAACAATGATGCACTCCCCTAAAGATTGGATCTTTAGCTGTGGTCTCTTTGGTTTGGGGTGTCTTTTTAGAACCTTGGGCTCGCACACCCACTAAAAGCAGTGCATGACACGCGTTTTCTTGCGCTCGAAAAAGCAAACAAACAGTAGAAAACTTGCCCACTTGCTCATCCCTATAACCAAGTCTTAGGGAGGGTTGGTTGCTGGTGTTGGAAATTGCACAACATCGAGGAGCATCCTAAGGGTGCCTTGAAAACACTGGGTTGCATGCTGAGATTGGCTGGTTGGCCCAGTTGCAACAGGGCCCATGTTCACCCCAAATCCTTGGCATTGTGTTCCAAATGGCTGGAAGGGACGGTAACCAGTTGTAATTTCATGCGGCGAGATCCTTGCATGGCCGGCACGCTTGATGTTTCCAGTGTCCATTCTCATCTCATCGCCTGCAAATCTGCAACTCTTGGAGATACCGCAGAACTCTATCCTCGGAGCCAACTACGTGGCCAAGAAGAGGGAAACAGCCAAGGAGGAGCAACAAATCAACAACATAATGACAAAGAGAACGCAAACCCCGCTCAAAAACTGAACACTCCAAAACAAGAGAGCACGCGCGCCGAACGCCAGCGCAGTGTGAGCAGCCGCTCAAGAACCCTCGAAAAGAAAGTCCTTGCGAGAATCTGCTGGTCATGTGCAGCAGTCTAAGCTTGCCTCAAGAGTTAGAGCTGGGGGTGGTGGAGCAGGAAATGAGAAACAGCAAACTTTTGGGTTGGCCAAGCTTACCATGTTTACCTCAGCGACCAACGGTCCAAAGGAATTCTTCAGGACCGAATCGGATGGCGGTCTCCGGCGATCGGATCGGATCGGCGCGAGCAAATGGCATGGATGGAGAGAAATGCAGCCCGATTGATCAATGAAGTATATAACGTTCCCATCCAGGCTCCAGTCGTGCCTTCGTTTCGAAGGTGGGACTGGGGTGAGTGCCAGGAGTCCAAATCCCTTCGGAGAAGGTATTGATCAATGAAGTAATTATATATATATAACTGGGAAGCCCTTTGGGAAACCAGGTTGGGCTTCCGCGGAGAGGTTCCAAGCAAAGAGGAGTGAGTAGAAAAAAGAAAGAGATTGACAATGATTGACATAAAGTCACCAAAACCCAAATGTACTTCTGAGATCAAGAGCAGAGCTATCTTAAGGATGTCTATACAGACCATCCAAAACAATCCGCTTCTCCCAGACGATCCGCGGTTTTCCTTGAGCTCCAAGACTTATATGACTCATCCCAAGCTGTGCTGAAAAACCCTACAAAGGTCTAATCTAGCAGTCGCACCTCCCAACCATTGGGCATTGGCCTCGTTCTTATACAAAGCTGCGAGATCTCCCCCAGACTTCTCCCAGCCCAAAAGAGGGTGTTTCATGAAAAGCCTTGACCTCTTGGGTGCATGTCTCTCATCCTCCGATCCAAGATTGCAAGGGTCTGGACCACTCTGGGATGCAACTGGCCCCCGTATCGGTGAAATACAGTATCAGTGACAGTGAAGGTCTAAGAATAGGGAGACTGCAAGACCCTCTAACTACTGCGTAGTTAGTAGAACTCGTCCTTCTTCCAGGGGTCCTTGAGCATTGGGGGTCTCATGACATGAGCCCTGGCTCACCTTAATCTCCAAACCCAACAAATCAAACCTCCAAATGCATGACATGCGGCAAAACCGTTTAAACACATTCTTGTGCAAATCGCTCCGTGCTTGGCCTCAGCCCTCAGCATTCCCGGAGCGGTCTTCCTTGCAAGACAATCCAATCTGCAGACATCTCAAAATCGATCGGTTGCGGATTCAGCGTTGCGGCTTCAGTGTTGCGACGAAGATCAACGGAGCAATCAGCGACTCAGGCGGTGTGGCTTTCTCGATCGAAGCTGGTGACAGGGTGTTGCTTGGCACGGTGCAGTTTCGGCGAAGAAATCGGGCGAAGAAGATCGCGCCACTGATGGTTTCCCTGAGAATATGCATCTTCAGCGGCTTTTCTCATGAAGTGTCCAAAGTTCCAGAGGTGAAGAAGAAGTTCAGACCTGGCCAGCGACCCGAAGGTAGGTTCAGGACTGAATATGCCGTTGTACTCCAGGACCCCGGGTGCTTGGTCTTTGAAATCAGTAATGACCTACTCCCAAAAGGAATCTGTACCGATCCAAATGCATCACACACCCCACGAAATGGTGCGTTCGAGCTATTGAGTCTTGGGTGATTGCTGTTGGCAGGAGCTCTTGGCACGAGCAACTTGGACACATTCTGTGCCATCTTCGCACTCTTTAGGGAGAAGCGAGGCATACCCACGGGTTCACGAGGCAAGCATCGGTCAAGAAGAGCTCTATTCTGGGTATTGGGAAAACGAACTCAAAAAACAGGAACACCATATGAATTAGGCAGGTTTCCATACAACCTCATCGCTTGAAACATACTCCCTCAACCCAGCACATCTCACGCTGCCGCTGCTTTTCTCTTTTCTGGGCGAGGTCGTAGATTCAGCGAACATTGCGCCTGGAGGTGTGGCTCTCAAACGCAAGGTCTGGCCCTCGGTGTTGGTCTTCAGTCACATCAAAACTGAGAACATTCCTAATAGCGATGGCCTGCAACCTATTAGCAATGGCCTCCAACCTAATAGCGATGTTTTTTGGAACAAACTACATGTAGTAGCTCATGATCTCGATTGAAAAAAATGAACGAGACCATTCGTTCCATTAGGATACCGAGAAGCAGCAGACCCCCGAAGTTGCGGACCTGCTGGGCCTCTAGGGAGTTGAAGCAGATTGTGTTGCTTTTCTTCTGAGGCTGGTTTTCTGCCTCCCGCCTCCCCGTATCTCCAGCGTGGCACATCACATCACTGAAAGGAACATCCCTTGATCCCTCACCAAAACAGAAGGAATCGCAATGCAAGAAGCCGGCGGAAAATCCTCCTACAAACAAAAGCCATGGCAATCTCCAATCTGAGGACCCTCAACATCCCTCCGTCCTCACCACATACTCATTGACTCATTGACTGGGACCTTCAAACCCCACAGTACAAACCTCCACATCAACTCAACCCATCTCAGGTCAAGTCCGCTACGTACTGCGCACCTTCACTCGACCCGCCCGCCTCACCAGCCCCTCCCGTTCCACCACGAAGCCGTCCCGGTCATCCATGACCTCGTCCGTCGCGTTCCGACCAGGACCCGCCGGCGGCCCGCGGGGCGAAGGAAAAGAGGACGGGGTGCAGTCCACCAGGTCTGCAGGGAGGGAAGGGCAGGCAGTGGGATTTGGGATGACCTTCCTGCCCAAGAAGGATCCAAATTGGATGCTTTTCCTGGGCCTGTACTGCAAGGACGGTATTTTTAGAAACCATCGTTCTCGTCAGAAGGCCTCAGGAAATGTTCAGGGCATTTGGGGACCGTGCTTGCTGTGCTTGCGGAGTCTCATGGAATCTCCAATGTCAACAGCATCTACTCGATCCGGAACCAATGACATCCAATGACCGTCATATCATGGACATGGTCTTGGAAGCACAGCATGTCAAGGGTATCCAACTTCTCCACTCTCTGGAGTCCAGAAACCACTCAAAGACTGCTACTAGGGTGGAGGCCATCGCTACTAGGCTGGAGGCCATCGCTGCTAGGGTGGAACGCGCCTGCCAGGGTCTTCGAACACCAAACGGCTCTTGTGCCTCTGAGTCCTCTGCGGAAGAAAGTAGCGACCGCCTCATGACTCACGTACATTGATTTGCCCTGCTCTACCAAGAAAAATGATGCTTGGTTCTGGCCACCTTCGGATGAAGACGAAAACAGGCCGAGTGCTTCGACCATCCAATCCAAAGAGGTCAACTTGTAGGAGGAACACGAAACCAGAACCACTGGACGTGTCTTTTGACAGGCTCAAGCTGTTATTAAATGAAATCAGTTTCACTCCGTCTCAACAAAATACCTCTGCACCGGTGGTCCTCCACATAAGCGTAGACCTCAGCGGTTTGCGGTGGCAGATCTAGGGTCTCATCACTCGCTTCAAACCGGACGCCCCCTCAGGAAGGGTATTTGAATGTATGGTCTTTGGAAGGGTGGCTGTTGGTACACTCAAGTGGACCAACCGGCCCCTTTGGGTTCTTTCGAAAGGCCATTTTCCCACTTCGATGGTTCCCAGACATGTAGCTTCGATGTACTTCGATGGTGACCGGGATGCAGAAATCTGATGAAATCAGTGTTCCCGGCTCATGCATCTGCACCCCTCAGTGCACCAAACATTCCGGTCCGGATCCTCCAGCGATTTGGCCGCGGGAGCGGTAGCAGGTCGGTAGGGATGGGCATGGGCCAGGCATGGGCCAGGCAGCATCAAACGAACTGGATCCCTGCTACGCGGCGTTAGTTCCACACAGGACGTGCGCCTCGGCCAACTTGTTCGGGTTCAATCTGTCCGCTTGGTGCTGTGAATGTAACAATACCAGCAACACTTCTTAGATATGAAAAGAAAATCCTTCATCATGGCTCCAGGCGCAGCAAATCGGGCTTCTTCAACATCGGAGGGTTAAGAGTTCTTCTACCGCCAGGGACCAGCATGTGACAACACAGGCACACTTGGTGAGGTCATACGCATTGTAGATCAAAATTGAATTTGAAGCCCTGGGCCTTTTCTTAAAGCACAACGAATGTGACCATGGGCAAGGGGAACTTCCACTTCCTGGATGTTGCCAGTAAAGAATCATCTGTCTACGTGAGTGTCACCTCTACAGTATTCGTTGAAGGTCTGAAAATGGATTGGCAATGGACCTACATACGTGCCGTGGAAAAGCTTTGCACAGCATAATGACAACCTGAAAATGATCCAACAGTTGTCGCCAGGTCAATTCTCAATGATCCCATATGCGCTAGGGCAGTTCCCGCTAACTGGCAACCCTGTAATCTTGCTGACCAAGCAAACCACGCGACTGAGGCCTCCCGCGTAGGCCCCCTCCTCGCTGCTGGGACCTTCTTTGATGACCTAAGTGTCAGATGAAACATGCTATAAGTCGAAGGACCTCACAAGAGTACAAAGAGATCGAGGTAAGGAAGCTGGGTTCAAGCAATCATGTCCTTTCCGACTGTGCTTCTATACACTGTAGCCTCTAGCCTTCAATTTGGACATAGATCAAAGGGTCCAGGAACATCACATCTTGAGAATATCTGAGAATGCATCATAGAAACACGTACTTGGAGCCCTGCAATATGCTTTTATATACATCTTCCATGTTGAACAGAAGTCCTTCGCCCAGCACACCATCCATTTCAGCGGCAAACCGTTCCATTTGCATCCCCCACTACGGAACGGTGCAAAAGGAACGGTGAGGTGACTGCGTGGGCTTCCCTTTCGAACATTCAATGGAACCAACGACATGAACAGTGTGGGATAGTGCGGCTCCTTGGTGTCCCGTGAGTCTTCGGCACATCAAATGCTCGAGTTTCTCAATCGACAAGCTCGAGATCCTGCAGCAGCTGCTTCGCCTGGTCTTGCAGCCCGAGACACCCAAGCACCATCGGCCATGAAAAGGAGGTGCCGATTGCCTCAGCAGCACAGGAAGACAAACCGACGAGCGACACTCTACACTGATCTATGTAGAAGAAAGAATTTCGCACCACCCGAGACAGGATCATATCAATGTTTTTGCAGGGCATTTGTCAACATTGTGCACCAAATGTGCAGGGATTTCTCCTGATTTCTCCCCTCCACCACGACGCCAAACAAAAAGGCACAGCGTTCGGACCAACATCGGCACCGAAAAAGAAGGCCCAGATCACGGCCTTCGGTTTTCCGGGTTCTCCTGGCGCGGAGGAGCTAGCGCGGAGCTCGGGCGAGATCGAGCCCGGTTCGTCTACTGGCGCTGCGTCCTGAGGCCCCGGACCATTGCAATAGACCGGGCGCCCATTCACCTGGAAGCGGAAGCTTGGGACGGCTCGGCCGGTTGAGTCACGGTCGTCTCGGTTGGTGACCAGGTTGAAGAACTAAGTTAAAAACTAAAAACTGATTTTGCGCCATGATGTTTGAGCATATGTCTCTTCTTCAGCTACACATGTATGATCATGTTTGTCTGTTCCACCTCTACCAGCAGGGGTTGCCTTCATCAATACACATCGAATTCATGTCTTAAGAATTTGGTCTATGGCCATTCCGCCCAAAACATCCTTGAAGTTTATGCTTGAGAACCTCATACCGAGTCATATCCAAAAGGAGAAGGATGCAGTTGTTGAAACTATTTTTATTATATAATCTATGAAAAATAAAAGCCATGACGTCCAAAGAACCTGGCTAGCAAAGCTTGACCTAAAACTCTGAAGGAACTCTCCTCCGACCTCCGACCTCCGCGTTCGACCTCTCGACCTCTCGACCTCGACCCATCCTGGCGCTTTCCGCCTGGAGATCCGTCCGGCGCCGGTAGACGCCTCAGCCGGTGGACCAGTGACGGACGGATCCGGACCCCGGTGGACCTCTGCTGGGACCGGACCTGTTGAGCGAAGGTTGTTGGGCGAAGTTGCTTGGTTTTGTGGGCCCATTCGCTGGCTTTGCTGGGAGTGCCAATAGTCTGGTTGATGGCTCAAACATGCTAACACTTAAATCGAAATCTAAAAATACCACCAAGGAGTGCCAATAGGGTCGCCACGGACCAGAGCTCTTGGATTTGCTTTATGACATGTTGGTTCCACGAACTGCTCCACCCGTTAGTCGGTGTGGTGGGCACGGCAGGTCCGCCCTGTTGACTCCACCCTACTCGGTCTGGCGGCCAGGAGCCCGGAGCTCCGTCGCGTCCGTGGTTCCGCTCCGTTTGCTTCGCGAGGCCCCTTTGCTGTTCCGTTCGTAGACTGGGCCCGAGTCTTCCCTAACCCAAACACTCCATGGGACTGCCATATATGCCGATCAGTTGGGGTGGTTTTGGGGGTCAATGTAGGCATGGAGTGTCTTCCCTAATATTGGCTCAATCTTGACCAAACGGCCGACCATGCTTCGATCAAGCTTCCGTTGAGCTTCTTTGCTTCAGAGGTGGCTTTGAAAGAGACAAGCACCTGCACGGCAAAAGGGGTGATCCTACAGTTAAAATTTCGAAACACGCACACACCTATTTTGTATCCAATGCTGCATCTCAGGCATTAGAGACAATGGTTTCTGATAGGTTTCTTGTCTTGCAGCAAGCCAATCGTGGACCGGTGGGGCCTGTCCCAGCAACCACTGGCTTTGCTGTTTTCCTTGAGTCCTTTGACCAAGTCTGTTCAAGAATAACCCACGTCGTGGTGATTCCCACCCTAGGGCTCCAGCCACCTCACCTCCGTTTCGAAGATGAGGTTAGGGGGTCTAACCACCGAACCTGAGGAGATGGGCCAGGAGCCCTAGGGCCAGCAAAGAAGATCAAGGTCGTTCAGCCACCTTGGCTTGGAGCCCAGCCTCTTCAGTCACGGGCGCTGCCATGGCGCCTGGGAGGATCTCTGGCAGTGCTGGGGCGGCAGTGGCCTTGTTGAAACCTGTCATGAACCATCCTGCCGGTCCAAAGCGGAATGTCCCAAAACAGTTGTCAAGGTGTTGTAGCCCACAAAAGCTGTCCTGGCAGGGGACATCATCCAACGAACCAGCTTCGGTGCGGTTCGAACGAAACCATCAATTGACCCCGTATCGTCGTATCGTTTCAGCTTTGGACTGGTAGCTTCCGCCCACTTCCATCAAACTACTCAAAACCTACAATGAGGATCTGAGCTACATATTACAAATAGGTCAACCATGTAATTACTAACCACTTTACAACATCACATCGATTCACTGACTTTCACACGTCCCCAAACATCCCTAACAAGTCAAACATTGGTTTGTTGCCCACCTCTTTGGGGGTTCGTTTATAGGCATATATATGCATATATCGGTATAGGCAGCTTGCCGAGCTGCGCAACTCCCGGCCCCCCTGCACACGCCGACCATCAGTCGGCAAATAGAAAAAGGGGCGCCCTGAACAAATCTCCAGCGGTCTTCGTGCCCTGGTTGATGAACCGAAGCAAGTCGGATTTTGACCCGACGTGTTGGTACAAAGCACCGATGTTGACCCGACAAATGGTTTGCCAAACTACAAACCCTGGATGCAAGCGTTCAAGTCCAAGGATCATGATAACAGGGAAGAGATAAATTGGTGTCTTCCGGTTTTCCCACACCACCTGGCACTTAGGTTCATTTGCACACTGGGTGTGTGTTCTCTACCACTGCTAAACACCACCAGTTCTCCCCTCTCTTCACCCCTCCTCCAGCCTGGTCTGGGCTGCTCATCTCTGCGGGGGGAGCTGGTCAAACCATGTCCTCCTGGTGCTGCCAGTGGCACCTGCAGCATTTTGGTTGGTCACATGACTGGCCGGAGAGGTCGAGAGGTCGAGCCAGTGGCACCCAGAGAGGTCGTGCACGTGGCACAGACTGGCACAGACTCTTGACGATTCGAAAATCACTGGTCTGCATGGGTCTGCTGTCTGCGAAGGCATAGGAGAAAATCGCAGTGGATATTTTTCAGTGTGTCTGACCAAAAGTCTTCAGTTAAGGGAGAAAGTTCACAATACCCTAAGCCGTTTGACTGTGCATTGTGGACTTCCTCCCTTAACTGGATGCATGTTTTGTCCGTGTCTCGTGCTGCTCAAAACACACTCTTGGCAAGTCCAACGACCTAACTCAGCTAAGTAAGGGTGATCGTAAGCATTGGACAACCACGCAATCGTATAGACAAGAAGCTACGAACGGAGCATTTCGGGCATCGCTACGAACGGAGCAAGGGCGCTACGAAAGGGGCTCCTGGCCTTACTACGAACGGAGCGATCGGACGCTACTAGGAATGTTTAAAGACGCTTGTTCTTGACTCCGTCTCCGACTCCTTCCGTCCCACCTTCCGCGAGTCGCGTTTGAGGGCGGCTGCCAGCGAGGAGCATGTCTCCTCATCTGCACAAGGGGAGCACATTCCTGGCCCCTGCTAAGCTCATACATGGAAGAGAATTCATACGTTGCCTTCCGAGAGAAAACATGGTTGTATGAGAGATTGACTATATGATCCACTGATATCTGTAAATTGCAGTACTCCTGGGGTAAAACATCAGTACATCTGCCAGACTGGTCTACCGATCTGTCATGATGTGGATGGACTCAATGTGTCCACGATTTCAAGGGCTGCAGTCTTCCAAGACTTGATCACAGGCCTGCAGATTCAAAGGCCATCTGGTCTTCCAACCCCAAAACATGCCCAAAAGCATCTAATGTGTTCCACAGTTTTTCCGCAAACACCAAACAACAGGAGCCACGAGCTGTGGACTGCCCCCCCGCACGCGAAAATGGTGTATCTTGATGGGCTCGGTATCTCCATCGCCCGGACCGAGGCTCTGCTAGGCGGCCATCCAAGTGAGCACATGGCTGCAGGTATTGCCTCGGTGGTGACCGGGGCATGCCCCCTGGTCACCTCTGGTCGATGGGCTCCATGGGCTGTGGGTAGGATTCCTGTCAATGTCAAAAATTAATGACCCAAATAGATTCCAAATAGATTCCAATAGTAGTAAAGAAGAGATCTGCCAGCACCTCAATGACAAAATATGACAAACGGCTTTTTCAAGCAATACCTTCTTCATGCCTTCTACGTTCAGCATCTCGGCCCAGGCTCTCCACCCGGATCCGTCAGACTGGGGAAGCGGCTGAGTCATGTCCCAAAGGAAAGTCTTCTGCGACCTGAGTGAAAGGCTGTGGCCTGGGGACCCTCAATGGCACGAACAAGAGAGTTTCGCACCTTTTTGGCAGAGACTTTGTGGCGCCAGTTGGTGGCGCCAGAGAAGAGAGCAAATCCGGAAAGCAGCTCTACTCAGCAAGTTTGAACAGGGGAGTAGTTTCTGGTAGCAAATCCGGAAAGGCATGGAAAGGGTCTTTTTTCTGGTATAGAGATGCTCTTGGATACTTTTCATATTCTTGGTGTTTGTTCCACACAACCATCATGCTGCCATTTTCACGCCGCCTCACTTCGACCGATCTCTTTGGGTCTCGGTTTCACACCACGGGTCTTCGGCGGTCAACTTGGCCTCGTCGACTCGTCCTTCGCCTCGTCCCGTCGACTCCATCGTGCTCGCGAAGACGCTGCGGGGCCGCGGGCGTGGACGGCGCTGTCGGGCCAACACGTTGCCCGGAGGAGGTGGCTCACCATGAGGAGTATCTCGATTGCCTGAGTTGAGTTGGAAGAGGATTCCATGGATGACCAAGTAATTAGAGGTGAGGTGGTTCATTGGCATGTTTACAAGATTTGTTTGGACTGGTCACCCCTTGCTTCAATGGAAACAGGACATTGTGCATCTGGACAGCACGACTTCAGCCTGCAAACACCTGGAACCCAATCCATCCCCGTCCAAATGCGCCCCGAATGAGAAATACAAACACATGATCTCATTCTCACCTCCACCCCCAGCCGTGTCACTCCTCAGCCATGGCACTCCAGCAGCACCGCTCCCAAGCACATCAGTTCCACCTTCTCCTCCCTTTCCCATGGCGGCCACCCCACCCGCCGCGCGCGACCAGCACGGCGCCGCCAGGCGCCCTGCGCCTTGCGGCGGTCCTGCGCCATGCGCCGTGCGTGCGGATCGGCATGGGCGTGGTGGTGTCGGTGGCCAAGGAGGAGATCACCTGGCACCTTGGAGGATGGTGAGCGGTGGAAGCTGGAGCAACTGCGGATCCGATCCACACAGTTTTGTGACATCCCAGTGTAAATTGATGTTAACTCTCTACAAAAAGGAACTAATTTGTGGATCAGTTCGACTCCATGTGCCCATCAGTTATCAAAACTTCCGAAAACATCCGCTAAAGGTATATCGTTCCTTGATTGCGGCAAAGCTACTGCAGGGCCTGGGATGTAATAAGACACGACAGTGCCCAAGGCCACGCATAGGCCTCCAGAGCAGACCATTGGAGACATGAGCCCTAAGTTGCTGATGCTTTCGACTGAACTTTAACCTCCAGTGGATTCTACCTAAGGTGCCCAGTTCATCGCTGCTATCAACTTCTTCTGGAGGGGTGGCTTACCATCGTGACACCACCGTCGCCAGACGAACAAGCGAATAAACTTTGATGTCATAGAGCCAAACCCTAACCACAAGTCTAATCTCGGCCTTAGGGCCTCTAATCTCGGCCTTAGGGCCTAATCTCGGCCTTAGGGCCTCTAATCTCGGCCTTAGGTCCTATGGGAGGTGTAAATGTATCTTAAGAATGGAACATTATGACTCGTCCTGGGAAAGAGCAGGGTGCCTCTAAAATGGTCAAGCATACTTCTTGGGTTTTGCCCGCGCCCATACCTTTCTGGAAGTCGGATTCTTTCTAAAGTTGAAGTGGAATCCTGGTCGTGAAGCTCGTCACCCAAGTTGTATTTGCGAGTCACACTCATCCAGGATCAAACATGCTTTCTCCTCAGAAAATGCGATGTGAGGTTGGACTTGGAGTCCTCCAGACTCAGGCGAACGGGTGTCAGGTTTTGACTTGAGGATGCTGGATGAGTACTCGAGCAAAGAAAGCCGTGCCTGCCAGCAAGAAGGGCCATCCTGGCAAGGCACTGGTCCGCGCAACCTGCGACACGTGTTCGATCTTTAAGGGGTTTTGTGTAACCAAGTAGTAGTTCCCGGGCAAGCCGGCGGCGGCAGTTTCCAAAAGAATAAACCTATATGAAAAGGGCATGTGGCAGGCTGATTCGCCGAGCTGCGATGTTCTTTGACAAAACAAGTTGGGACCGACCAATGGAGCGAAAGCGAAGCAACCACCGTCAACTGTCTTGCCTTTTGCAAAATACAGCATAGAGATGACTCAGCCGCGTACTAAAGTTGTACTACAAAGTCGCCAGTTCTCAGCTTCCAGCTCCACGTCTTGCTCCGCGCACTAGAGTTGCACTACAAAGTCGCCAGTTCTCAACTTCCAGCTCCACAGATTGCTCCGCGTACTAAAGTTGTACTACAAAGTCGCCAGTTCTCA